TCTCTTATATTTATTAGAAACTGCCATTGAGAACCTTGATGTAACGTAATTAATTGATGGGTCACACAAAAGCAATGAAGCTGAAGGTTATTGAGCAGGAATTGCTATTACAACTTTAGCTTTCCTTTAGAACACATTCCTCTACCTGATATGAAATTCGCCCAGGTGCACTGATGAGCGTTTTACAGTTAACCAAAGACCAGGAAATGGGCTCTTGTGTACGTGGAGCAGGGCATGGCTTTGGGATGCTTTGCAAACAAAGTGGCTTCTCACGTCTTCTGGAAAACCCATCAAAATGGGCAAGTTAGGGATCTCTTAGGAGCTCCCGTCTATACCACATTCATGGCTAATATAACAGTGGAAGTTGATGCAAAATGAGATCATATGGAAGATAAACTGCTGCACCACTGCCTCAGCTCAGCACAGCTACCTCTTCCCTCAGGGCTTCTGACTCTCTCAGGATGTGGGTTTCCACACTGTGTCTCTCATACAGTAATGCACGGCCGTGTCCTCAGCCTTTAGGCTGCTGATCTGCAGATACGCCGTGCTGACAGAGGTGTCTATGGAGAAGACAAATCATCCTGTTTAGCCCTGGGCATACATTGGGTTCCCAGTGTTGATGTTCATCCACCCATTCACTCAAGCCCTTCTCCAGGGACCTGTCTCGCCCAATTCATACCATAGGTGGTAAAGTTGTAACCAGAAGCCTTGCAGAAGACCTTCACTGAGGCCACAGGCTGCTTCACCTCAGGCCCAAACTGCACCAGCTGCACCTGGGAGTGGGCACCGGTGGAGAGGACACAGGATTGTGGGAAGTCTCACTTGACTGGCCTGGTTTCTCTGTCAGCCCTGGGACTGGGGAGCCCCTTAACTTTTGCTGCTGCCACCAAGAAGAGGATCCTGTGGGTCGTGTCCACGGTGAGGAGCTGTGCTGTTGGTGGGGTGTGGTCCCGAGGAGGGGTGTGGTTGTTGGGTGATGCTCTCAGGGCACAGAGTTATCTATATTAGCCTCAGTGATTTGCATATTCTTGAAGGATGCTATTTAATAGCCCAATTTCTGACCCAGTATGAGAAAGAGCAAATACACGACACATGGACGACACAGTTGTAGAAGCTGAGGGTTCAAACCGTAATCCTGTTGGAGGCCATGTGTCCCCTACACATCCCTGAACTCTATGTTGACAGAGCTTCCCCCACTGGAGAACAAGCTCCCCCAGGACATGCACCTCACTTTGAATCCACATTTGAATGAATGAGGGACAACTTGAACCATTTCTAGCACTTAATATGTGAATGCGTTATTTTGGGAATGACTGTGTTTGTCCAAAAATTGCACTGATTTAAAAGAAAAGAGCTCTTCCTGACCTCCAGCTGCTTACTATTAAGAAAACTGGCAGAGTTTGAAATCCCCATTGTGAAAGTAGTTCTCATTACAACATCCAGTTTGATAAATGCTCACAATTGAATGGAATATTTATATAAACATCAGAAGTCCTTGTGAAATACTTATATTAGATATTTTTAAAGGAAGTCCGGGGCCCTGAGAGGAACCCCTCCCCAGCCAGCTGTGCACCTGCTCTGGGGCGGGAGCCTGTGATGAGTTTATCCTGAGCGCCCCCTGCAGCCCAGCCCCTACCCAGCAGGAGCTTTTCTGTCTGAACTTACAGAGTATATTCCTACCAGTGTCTCTAGCCCGGTATAAAGTGGCTGTGCCCTGGCTCAGAATTCTCCTTTAGTGACACAACGTGCTTCTCACACCATCTTTTGAAATACTGAATTGGCCTTGGGAAACCCAGAGAACTGTACAGGGAGACCTGAAGAAAAGATCTCATGCATCACTGGGGAGCCCTTTCCTGGAGTTCCAGAGGCACTGAATCGTTTGACATATGGTGAACCCAAAAACTCTTCAGGGATTTGGCGGGATATTCTTATTTTCTTTAGGGTCCTGCAGTTGATTATTGCACCTGAGAATATCTGCAGGTGCAGTTGCACGTGGACAGAAGCCCAACTCAACTCTAGTATTCAAATAACACATACACACACACACACATACACACACACACACACACACACACACAGTGGCTAATTTTAACATTAATCGACCCACTTTTCTTCCTTTCTTTTCTGGTATCCATGTCAAGGAAAGCACTCCCTACACTGGCACTAAGGATGAGTATGTGTCTACTTTCTGCAAACAGAAGTAAAGAAAACAGAATACAAGTGGACACCTGGGAAGTGCATGCACATTGAATTCAGCTGGTCTCACTTTGGAACCCTGCACACGTGCCATGGAAAGTAAATTCGAGGCTTATGAGGGTGAAATCATTTCCTTGGTGCTGAAGGTGCTGTTGTCAGAGCCTTCAAATTGCTCTATTTTCCTGAACATTTTTAATCCTATTTTCCTCCTCAGAGTTTGTGCATTGCCACACTCTCATATTTAATCCATATTGACTAAACTGGTGAGACGTAATGTGTGGAACACGGAAGCATTACATGTTCTTATAGATGAATCTTAATACTCTGGTGATCTTCTTTCTCTGGACTGTGCCCGATACAGGAAGTCTCCAGGTGTGAAGCTGATTTTCACTCTTTTCTCGATGGAACATCACAGGAAAATTTTTGTAAATGTGCCCCTTTTGGCTAATTGTAGCCATTTTCGTGATAAAGGCAGCCTGTAGGTATGGGTTTGTAATGGGGATGGATTACCTTTCGCAACATACATAAGGATTTAAAAATGGGTTGTCTGCCTGAAGAAGGTCTCGGTGTTTTATCAGAGATTCAGTCTCCTGGTAATACAGCCATGCAGGCATCTAGGTGGATTCACACCCTGAGAACCTGGAGGTTCCTGGAGGAAAGGGCGATAAGAGTATGGGGGGGTGAGGCCCCTAGGATCTCTCACCCTCATGCTAGTCCAGACATGCTCTTTATGTTTATTTAGTTCAGATTTTCATATAACAAATCACACAGCCAGGCTCATTTAAATTATCCATATTCAGGCCATATGGGACCAGCAGCTGAGTATAATAATCACATTGAACTCAGACAAATCTGGTCCTAATCCAATGTTTACCGTAGCTCAGAACACCTATAATGACTCACT